GCAGAGAGTTTCAGGGATTACCCTATCTTTATCTCCCTAGCACCAGAATTTTGGGTGTATACCACCGTGCTTGGATTTTTATGATAATTCTGGGGATCCAAGCCCAGGTCCTCAAGCTTATCTGGGAAGTGCTTTCTTACCTGAACTATCTCCCCAGCTCCCCAGTCTTATAGAATCCAGAATTCTACAACCCTTATGAACATTTGTAGTTATGTACTAGATACTTGGTATTTATTTGCTTAATATTTATCCATTCCTTTCTAGAAACAGCACCCTATTTTTCCTTTGGGGAATATTCATTAATTAATTCATTTGTTTTATAGTAGATAAAAAGCTGTTTCTTTTCTCAAATAGAATGTCCTTCCTTGGCAAAAGGGTAAAACTATACTCCAAGTGAAGCTATGATGTTCTGACTTCCCAAACCCATGATATGTCAAATATAAAATAGCTGAAGTTTATGATCTTCCTTAAAAATCACAAGAACTGGCTTTTCCTTGTCTTTTTATTTGAGTCTATTGAATATTCTGCATCCTTCCTGCATGCCTTCTTGGTTAATCCAGATAGATTTTTCTTATATTTTTGGTTGTGAGCCTAGCCTTTAACGGCTGAGCCATTTCTCCAGCCAGCCAGATAGATTTTTAAGGGACTGCCAGTTATTGAACACATTATCATTAACCGCACTGAGACTGTTCAGGAGGTGACATGTTAGACAGATAGTATAGTCAAATGGAGCTTAGTAGAGGCATGGAGGCTGAGAAAATCCACTGCATAATGGTCATCAAAGACTTGGGTCACATGAAAAGAAATATAGGGTAGCTTTATACAGAAAAAAATTCAGAGATCCGAACATACTCAGGTGCTTACATGGACACCATGAAGGATAAGGCAATATTGAGGACTATACAGCCAGAAACCAGGTGAAGATGATGTCCTAGGAGCCAAGAGGTAAGTGTATTGCTAGCTTTTCCTTTTGCCTTGTAGGGTCTCAGACTCAGATTTTGACTCAGTTTTCTGGTTCTATGGGATCTCAAAATTTACAATATATAATAATTCTTGTTCCCCTGAGGGTTGTGGGGTGGAAACCTCTGGATTAGATTGAGGCTAACTCTCCACCAAGTTCTGTTGCCTCTGATCCAGTCAGAATTGGAGTGGCTTGATGGTTAGGAAACCTCATTTCTCTTAGCAGCTCCACCCATTGCCTTCAGTAACTATGCAGTTGTCACAGGCCATGGCTTCATTGTCCTCAGGCTAGCAAAGGCTCAGGAAGGTCAGAAATCAATAAAGACCTCTAGAGCGGATCTGGATGTGTGTGGCTTAGTAGTAAAGTATATACATTTAGTACACACTTCAAAAGCACAACAAAAGATGTCTTGCAGATTCTTGGAGCAACATACAAGTAAGTACATGTGGCCTAGCTGGCATTTTCTCCTCTGGAAAGCCAAGAAACTGAGCCTTGGGGGGCACAGGTTAAGGAATCATGAGTACTTTTCTGGCTGATATAGCGCTTAAAAGTCACTTATCAAGGGGCATATTAAAATACCCATTAGCCTATTCTTTGAAAACATAATAACACCTAAAGTCACTATGACTTCTTTTTTAACACTTCAATATATTAGCCCTTAAAATGAAATACCTACATGGGATCTTTCCCAAATTAAGAGCACTGTGTCTTTCTATTGCTACACCTTAAAGGCACGACTCTACTTTCAAGCCCCCTAATGTGCTAGGACACAAATAGGGACAGGAAAAATGAAGAGAGACTTCAGCCTTTTTATGTGTTTGTACTTTTATTTTTCCATAGTGATCTTTGCCAATTCCTAACAAAAATAAATAAAAACTGACAATAACTTGTACATTATAGTGTCCTTCACTATGCCAAGGTACATGTCTATCAAAGCTGATATTAACTCAAACAAATTGATACAATTCAGTTCTCTGATAAAATTCATAGTCAAATAACTTTCAAGGTGAACGCAATACAACTTTATGTTCCACTAGAATCTTTAATAGAAATTTTATACGAGTGGTTCTTCAGACTTGCAAAGTGCAGTGACAGAGTGCAAACAGGCAAAAAGAAAAGTACACTGTATGACATTCAAAAGCATCATGTTTCAGTAGCAGAGATATCTTAGACAAACAGTCTTCGGCAAAACTTTCAAATGTAGCCCAGAAATGCTGTTTATGTCCCCTTTAAGCCATACCATTAGAAAATTTAAAAAAAAACATGGGGCAGCCAATCAAACTTAAAAAGAATTCTACAAAATAAAAAAATTGAAGCAAATGTGACAAATTTGGTCCAATAAAAAGATTTAAAGTCAACTTTACAGATTACTGACGACTGGATGAAGCAAAAATTGGACACTAAGCCATGTCATATATATGCTATATACAGATATCAATTCAATAATTAATATCTTTTGGCAGCCAAATATAGTTAGCTGTCTTCTCAAGGACTCAAAACCAAAATCTTTGGCTTTTCCCCCACAGTTTGACTCTTGACACAGAGGGAGTGAAAACAGGTGAGAGTAGTAGAGTTATGGTCCAGTTGCAGAGATGGAGGCTTTAGGTAGGTGTAGTCTCATTTTTACAGTAAAACTTTAGTGTTAAGTACAGAGCATGATGCCTTTACTCACGGAGAGTGTCTACTGGGCTTTGAGGTAGTCTTGGTGGGAGACTGTAAGTTATACAGTTTTGCATTTGAGATTGCTTTGGTTCTTAGTATGTATATACTGTTGTTGAAGTCCCTGTGTGCATATATACATAATATAATGAAATATCTGTGTATGAATTGATTGTATTCTATTTTATGCTTACTTAACATAATCTTCACTAGAACATGAGTTTTTAAAACATGTTCACCCAACAGCTATAAGCTTCATTATCCTTTTGCATTATTAGTATGTTTTTAGGAGACTATAGGTGTATCCCAACAGTAGTAGGGACGAGTGTAAGGCTCTGATTTTTAATCCCAACTTTGAGGTCAAAACTATATATATGAGTTCTTTTAAGACATATTCAAAAATACACAATGCTACCCCAAATTTCTTGCATCTAGTTATGTGGTACGCTGAGGAATGCTCAAAGTAGGCCATATAATATACCATATAATCTAACAATATACCAATATCTAAAAGCCTTTTTTTTTTTTCAGCATCTGTAAATCAGCTGGCTGAATTTTAGCCCAGTTCTTGATAAGCTTTAAACTTTTGTCTGGAGAATCTAAGGTCGCTGGAAGTAAGCCAAGTTTTTTTTTTCTTCATCCAGTTGATGTCAATGGGATTTAAAAATGTGTTCTCTCTCACACAGGATGCTGGCCTTCAGCCAAATCAAATGGCAAAGAAATACACTTTTTAAATCTCACTGACCTTCATTTCCCCTTTGTTCTTTTAAACCTGAGTGTGTTGGTTACTATAGAAACAAAGAGCTGTAATTCTGCAAAGGATGGAGCTTGCATGTGCCCAAGCATATGCGCGGGAATGCATTGTGCGCTGCTTACTTAATCTGTTTGTTTCCCTCATAGCAAGGACAGGGCTTTGGAAAAGAGCTATGTGAACCTTCCAGGGTTTTCCATGACCAGCTCCATGGAGTAGCAATGATTTGTTCCTTGGCACGTTAGCGGCCAGAGGCAATTCCTGATCTTTTTGTTACCTGAACCTATGCCAGGAAGAAGCTGGAGGAAGAATAGGCCCTCCCTGACCTGGTATGTGTTTCAGGGAGAGTCCACCTAAGGTTGAGTACCCGGTGAGGCAGCCTCCCAGGAAAAGGTGTTCTAGCAGTGGTTCTCAAGATAACTTCACAGAATATTCTCAGTGACTCACTAAGACCTGCAGACTGAGAGTCGAGAGTAGTCTTTCTGTCTTTCTGTGAAGGCAAACAAAGGACAGAGAAAAGGGGCAGGCTTTCACGTTAGTTTCCATGGGTATGGATAATGAAGTCTAAATTTTAAAATCTTTCAAATATGTTTCTCCTTTGGAAAAATAGACTGTTTTATTTTTCCTGTATTTTTCTCACTTCCTGCATTTGAATATATGTTTTAAAATGTAGCTTTAAAATCTGAAGTAAGATGTTGTCTGAACTGTGTGTTGTTAAAAAACAAAACAAAACAAAAAAAAACCTTTTGAAACTGGGCATGATAATGTATGCCTGTAACCAAGAACAAAGGGGGTTAAGGCAGGAGAGTTACCATGACCATGGGGCCAGTCAGGACTAGAGTGAGACTCTGTGTTAACAAACATAATAGAAACAGTAACAAAACAACAAAAAACAAAAACAAAAATCCTCTTGAGCATGAAATACAAAAGTACATTTCCATATCTGATTAGCATCCTCATGTATTTTAAAAATATAATTAATTCAATTTGGATTCTGCTTTAATGTTATAATTCTTCAATAAATTCCCTACAAAAGCATACTAAAATGGGGTTCAAATTTGTCTTCAAATGTGGATTTTCTGATTGATATTCAAAACAACAACCTCACATAATGAGGTACTCTACATAGACAGAGCATTGTTTGGGTGAGTTAGGACAAGGGATTGTCCTTTGTCCCCTCTAGACACATCTGAACTCTATAGCAGAGTTTCTGAAGAGACATCCTCTCAAGGACTAGCTGGCTCAAATGTGTGGTTTGAGGCACACAAATTGTGTTTACCTCCGCTAAGGCCTGTTGTTATTGCTGTTTAATACATGATGATATAATCAAAGCAAATATCACAGACTTAAGAAATAGGAAATAAATTATTTATGCGATTGATTTGACCATACTACTAGGCTCACCAACCTCTATGCCAAGCCACAATACAGTCAAACCAATTATCATAGACATGAGAAGTAGAAAATAAATTATTTATGCAATTGACTTGACCATATCACTAAGCCCGCAGGAATGCCACTTGCAGACACCTCCCAAGCCACAGACTGGACATTGCTTGTTCTAAGCACTGCACCAGCTTAATGAATTTTTGAAGCTTTTCAATAAAGCATCATACTCAGGAAATTCTTACAAAAATATTAAATTTCTTTTGATATTAAATATTTTACATATAATATATTAGCAAATATATTTCTCTCAAAAATAAAACACTTTCCATGCGTATTAAAAATATACAGTTATTGACCTAACACATGACCCAACATAAATATTATTAACACAACAAAATATTGACATCGGCCAGGCATGCTGTGTATTCTTGTCCATAATTTGATGGCACTGTTCAAACTTGTGGCAACACTGAGTCTCCTGAGGTAACTTTCTCGTATTCCTCCCTGGACTTTTTACTTTTTCGATTTTTGTACCTGTAAATAATCAGAAATGAAACAGCACTGTAATTAACAGATAGAAAAACAAACCCTGAAATAAACACATGGACTCCAAGAGTGTATGTAAAATGCTTAGACTGAGTAGATTTGGGTCAGGTAATGGGAAAAGCAAGACTGTAAGAGAACGGTCTCCTATAGTTCAACCGTTTAGGTAAGAAATGGACATGGTGACACAGTTAACACCATGAAAGTGTTTCTCCAAGGACTTGACATGAGCACAAAGCTGAGAAATGTCAGGAATGATTCTTCAGCATTCTTTGCTATCAGTTTCTTTCACCAGTATTAAGTTCTGGTACATATGTATAATCAGGAAGACATTATCATCAGATGGCTACTTAGCACAAAACCTAAACAATGACTTTTTGGGGAAAAAATAACTAAACAATTTGTACCAACTTCAAACTAAGAAAAATAAACTGGAAGCATTCTAATGGGCACTATTTTTCTAGTGTTCTTGGTTTCACAGGTCCAGTCAACTCACAAACCCTGACAATTGTTAGTTATATTTCTTCTTAGTTATAATTTTTATAATAATATCACTGTAGGGAGAGAGCCCTAGCTATTATAGGGTGAGAATTTCTGTCTGGATTTCATAAAGAAAATATATTCCTTATTTGAGTTTTATATGCACATAGGCAGGAAGTGAAGGACAGTGAACCTCAGGTGCTGTGCAGCAAAGCATCTTTGCTAATAACACAGTTCAGATTCTACTTTATTCCTCCAATAGTACATTTAGACTTCAACCAGTTTATAGGTCTGTGTTTTGGTAATTTAAAAAAAAATAGATAATAAAGCTGACTGGCTTACCATCTACAGAAATAGTATACGGATCCAGTGGTTATGATAAGAAACAGGAAAATGAGAATCACTGTCAATGCAACATATTCTGTTCCCAAGGGTTGGTGAACAGTTAGAAAGAAGTGTTCACACCGCAGACCAGTGTAGCCCACTTCACATCTGAAAGAGAACAAAGGCAAAGAAAGTCAATTATTTTTAAATGAGGTCATGCTATGAGTTAGCATTACAAGGACTAAGTCCCCATTGCTATACGAGAAACCAGGATGATTTGTTAAAAGTTATAAAAGTGAATTCAAAAATTGAACACAGAATTAACTCAACATTAGTAAAATAGCACTGCACAGCATCTAGTCCAACTACAGTGGCAAAAGGGCAATTTATGTAGCTGCCGAAGTACTGGTCATCTAGAACTAATTATATATGTATATGCTGTTGTAATGAGAGAGGAAGCATGTGAAGTTCCCCTCGTTATTCCTATCTGTCCAGACGGAAACCTTCTATTTGTTTCCTAATTTTGAAGAAGTAATAAAGTTTTTAATAGTATCTATAAAGTACACACCAACAGCCCACAGAACTATCTTAACTACAGAAGAGGAGAGGAAAGTGTAGGGTTCAGAACTGTCATTGGACACTCATTTTGGTCACTTCACCTGCAGTATTTCTCACTCATGTCCACCAGGTAGATACATTGTCCATGCAAGCAGTAGCCGTCCATGTCAGAGCTACACTTTGTAATCAGCACTTGAGCCACACGGGGATCGTCTTCCATCTGAACTGTGAAAGGAATGGGAAGTTTAATGACTTGTGTTCTGGGACTCTGGCTCTATAACTATCCTTTCTCTAAGCAATTTCAGCACACAGGTCAGGGGTCAACAGTGGAGAATTTTCAGGAGTAAGGCATTACTCAACTTATCACATTACCCCCAACCAATAAACAAACACCCAAACATACAATAGGCTAAACAAAATGAATCTTGAGGATGTAATTCTCAGAACACACACACACACACACACACACACTCTATATTGGGATCATTTCTGTTCCCAAAGTAAAATTTGTCTTTTGTTTGTTTATTTGTTTGTTTGCTTGTTTGTTTATTTGTTTGTTTTTGGAAGCCTCAAAGAAATTCTAAAATTCCTTACTCTTAAAATAATTAAATTACAAGTTGAAAGCGTTAATTAATTCAGGAGAATTTAATTCTAAAATAAGTCTTAGTTAGGTGTATATTTCCAAATCTTTAAAAATATCAGCCAAGAAATCAGCCTCTTGAACAACTGTTGAATGGATGGACACCTGACCATGAACTAGACAAATTTTGAAATAGAGAGTTTGCTAAGAAAATACAACAGTGAATGTAAGAGTTTTAAATAGAAATTTTATTTATGATGGTAATGTAGGTCCATTGGCAGAGCACATGTCTAGAATGCACAAAGCCTAAGTTCAATCCATACCACCACTAAACTGGATATGGTGCTACTCACCCCACTGCAGAGGTGGGTACAGAATGATCAGAAGTTCAAGATTAGTCCCAAAAATATATATAAAAGAATAAAGAAAACAATGATTCACCTAAAATATTTAGAAAATTATCCAAAGATAGTTTTCAAAACAAATAAAACAACAAAACAAACAAACAAACAAAAAAACAGTGATGAAGGGAAACTGACAAAATTCCAGAAACCTTGATGGTGATAGACAAGAAAGAAGTAGAAACCTAGAACCATTCTTTGGATTTAGTATGTAGCTCAGAGAAAAGCACCATGGGGGTTCTCCTGGACCATGTGCCTATGGAGGATCAATAGCTGTCTATCATTCTATTTCTACCTTTGTGTTTCTACCTTAACATGGTACTGATCACACTAAGCACTTCATGAATGTTTCCTGAACCCTATGCCTGAAACAGAATGAGAATATTCATTCCTCTTACATGATACATCTATCAAGACAAAACCATGTTGTGTATGGAGTTTACATTTTCCTGTTCTTCATGGAATCTGTCCCTTCAAATATTTTCCAATAGTGGCTTTATGCTCAATATCATTTTCTTTGGTTCCTATGTTTCCAAAATCCAAATCTTTATAACTACATGTCTGATCTTTCTCCCCTTGTTATTCCTTCATGCAATTTCTCCAAATCTCTAGTTACTAGGTTAAAATGGATACGTCAGGTGTCCCTTCCTCTTGTTATTAGCATGCATTTATATTTGCATTTTATTTGAAAATGTGTAAAAGTTTGATGCTACTTTCATGACCATAGACTTACCTAAAGCTGTACAATTATCCTCGGATTCTTCAGGGATACATGATGGAATCACTGTTGTGCTGATAACTGCTTGTAGAAGGTGGGAACCTAGTTATGGAAGAAAATCAAATATGTAATTAGTGCTGCAAGGAAACCAACTTTCATTACAGTTCTGCATGTCTTTGTTATATATTAGGATGTTTTGTTTTAATAAGTTAGTTCATCAAAGTGATACCAGATTGTTATGGAAACAGTTATATAATTCACAAAATATAATCTAGATAAAATGAGAATATTTTTGTTCTTTTTGGTTTATGGGGATTAGCTCCAGCATTGTAAATTTACAGATGTCCAGGTCCCTTTCATAAAACAGCACAGGATTTGTACATAGCCTGAGTTTGTCTTCTAGTGTTCCCTAAATCAGTTCCAGATCACATCTAAAACCTAATACAACTTAGATGCTATATGATATCTGTTGTTATGTTCAGTACAGACACTATTCTCAAATATTTGGAACCCATGGATACAGGAGGACCATGTGTATGTCTTATCTAGTACTGGAAGAAGCTGGTGAAGCATGCCAAGCTATGCAAGCCCTGGCACCCAGTCTTTGTCAGCACAGTGAATGAAACAACTGTATCATTCAGTGAAAAGATAAATGGTGGAAATTAGGCATCAGAATGACTCAGGCCCTTTCTGAGTTATATGGGAAACATGATAAGAAGGACCTTTCAATTCTATACACATTTACACAAGAGCATTTTGTCTCTCTTGTTTCATCTTTGCGTATTTGAACACCAACCTTTTTTCTGACCTTTAGGAATTACTATTATATAGTCAATAGCTGTTCTAGCAGTAGTAGTAACAGGCACAACTGGCCGGCCTCAAATATGCACTTCGTGGAGATACAGTTCTGCTTATTTTATCTATGCTATTTCACTTTATGCTTTCAATGATGCTAAGGAAGAAACTATTAACTCCATCAGACACATGAGAATTGAGCATGCAGGGTTTAAACAATTTCTCCTGGTAATTCACATTAAATGGGGCACAGGACAGAATTTGGAAAGGGGTAGTAATACTTGAATGTGATGAATACCACATGGAACATACTACAGAAGCTAAAGCAGAGTACTATTTGCATCTCCTCAGAAGGATTGGGGAAGTGAGAATGGCATGAGAAAACCTGACCTCTGTTACTGGACATAGTAACTCCCTTCCACAACTCTCAGTTGTTCTTACAGACTTTTAGGGAGACTGAAATGGATTCTTTTTCCCCCCAGAAATACCAGACTAATCAGAGACTCCCATAAGTACTCCAGACAGTCAACCTCTAGCCTGTAGTTTGAATCAACTATCCAGGTAGTGCCCTCTACCGGTTTATAGTCAGAATATAAGTCTTCACAATTTGGCATTTGAATACACAATTTAATCCATACTGGGAAAAAGTGATTTTTCTCCTTGATCAGAGGAACTTTGGACTTACTAATCAAACTGCACATGAGGGTGTTCTAAACATCAAGGTGAAGATCGACATCAAGTCCAACCTTATGGTTCCTACTACCTACTATGTTTCAAAGTTGACCCAACAATCCCGTTCACGATAAAGACAAGCACACTCCAAACGAGTCTAGTGTGTACAAATTAAATGTCTTATACAAAATCACTTATCTAGTGACCACAGAAGATAAGACCTAAAGATTCAGTTTTATATTCTTCCATTGGGTTGAAATCACTGAAAGCTCTCAATCAGTGGCTCTCCACCTTCCAAATGCTGTGATCCTTTAATGCGGTTCCTCATCTTCTGGCGACCCCCAGACGTAAAATTATCTTTGCTGTTACTTCATAACTGTAATTTTGCTACTGTTATGAATCACAATATAAATATCTGACATGTTGTTAGCTGAGATGAAGTGACCCTGTGAAAGGGTCATTTTTTTCCTCCAAAGGGAGTCACGACCCATTGGGTAGAGAACCACTGCTCTAGAAGTATCTGTTCTCTGGCCAGGCTTCTCCAATCAACATAGTTGCTTTGATAGACCAAAATTAATTTTTCTTAAATGACTGGAAAGAAATTAAGAGAGAGAGAGAAAGAGAGGGAGAGAGAGAGAGAGAGAGAGGGAGAGGGAGAGAGAGAGAGAGAGAGAGAGAGCAGAGAGCAAAGTCTTTGTACTGTCAGTTCAACAGAGATGAAAACTGTTATCACATAGGTAGGGAATGACATGTGTGAACGGAGGAGGAGCTGGATTCTTGTCCACATTAGTTTTGTTCCATTTCTTGGTGGAGTTTTACCTTGCATTGTACTGAAGAATTAAACCCTTTAACCTAGACAGTCTCCTCAACACAGATTGGGCTTCTGACTGTACAGGTTTTTGCCCTTACCACCTTTACCCTCCACTCAGCCCTTCCCTGTAAGTCCTTGGGGAGACATTTCAATTCTCAATCCAGGAAAGCACTTTTGTGTGTGGGAGGGGTGAGGGTGGGGGTTGGGACACGAGTTTCTCTGTCTAAGTGCATTATCCTTTGTTTAGAAATCACACAGTCGGGAGTGGGTGGGTAGGTGGGTGGGGGAGCTCCCTTTTAGAAGCATGGTAAGGGAGGATGGGAGAGGGGGTTTGCAGAAGGGAAACTGGGAAAGAGGATAACATTTGAAATGTAAATAAATAAAATATCCAATTTAAAAAATTGTCACACAGGCAAGAAGTGGTACTGCTGTCAAGATGAGCATTTCCTGCTGAAGATTGCTGTCCACTGCTACCCGTCCCTGCTGCTGCTGTAGGCTGCAACTGACCCCAGCTAGTGCTCTTTACTGTTCATTGTTCTTCATTAAGGCTTTTATAAATTATTAGTTCATCTTCTATTATAAGCTTCGAGTTGCTTGTGCCGCAGGTGAAATACTTGTCTTTGTAGATTGTAGATTGTTTAGCCTAGGGTATGTACCTGCTGGGACCCTGGCTTTCCCTGACCTGTGATGCTCGAGTGGAGACAGTTCATTGGTTGGACACTTTCTGTGAGACTTGCTGTGGTAATCCACCAGCAAAATAGTTTACAAATAAAATTGCAAATAATCACATTAAAGTGTGAGATCATGCTAGTGAATGGCAAAAATGGGTCTAAATTGTCTATCTCCGTATGCAGCTGTCAGATTTAAAACAAGGGTCCTCACTGCTCTCTAGCTCTGCCTGTCCCAAGACTTTGAAAAGTTGAATAGAGAAATAAATGTGGTGATTAGGAGATTGAAAAGCCCACTCACACCTGTCACTTTGGTAAAACTTAACATCCCAATGTTGAGGATTAGACTGAGTGCATTCTGTCATTAGCTACAACCACAGCCCAACAGTCGTTATTTTAAAGTTATACAGGGAAGGAGTAAGCTCTAGTTTCATGTCCACATGGTTCCTTAGTCTTAAGTCTTTTTATGATTTTAGTGGATTTGTGTATCACAATCTATGGTTCAATTGCAAATATTTTATTTAAGGTTTTCGTTCCTTACAACGGATTCCTGCTAATAAAGTCATTCACTAGGTTAAACATTTTGGATCACGCGTGTGTCAAAATCAGATATAATGACAATTGATACTGGTTACTAAGACCCTGATGAAGTCTCTGCAAGGTGACATAGGTAGATGGTCTATAAATGCAAACTTGTGCTTAGAATTTCAACTTTATCACAAAAAGCAAAGACAAAAACCACTTCAAGACTATTATCTGGGGCACACCTCCAAGTGGGTTTAGGAATTTGATGTTCTCCGTTCATCTCCCCTTCACCTTTTAGAGATTGCATTTCAGTGAAATCTCAAATACACCAGCAGGAAATGGAACCACTGACTCACAGGATGCAATTCGCCTCTTCCCCATGACTCAGAGCCCAACCTATACCCTTAAGCAATGATGGGGACCGTGCGTGTGTGCGTGGGAGAGTCTGAGTGCTGTCACCGGAATGGGGATAGCCCTGACAGCCATGGGCCCTGGAGTGCTAAGACCTGTTTGCCCAACAGTCACCAGAACACCTGACATACAAAATGTCCTCAATGTCTACATTTTTTCTGACCTGCTTCCTAGTGAAGACACTTTGAGCTTCCTAGTGAAGACCAAAGGAGAGGTAGCTGGGATTCCATGACTAAATAGAAGGGCAAGTCAGCAAAGCATTCCCAAACTTCAGGCAAGAAACAAAATAAAACAAAACCAAACAAAAACCAATATACAGCTTCTCTAGAAAAAAATCAAGCAAATAAAAATGAATTTACATATATATATATATATATATATATATATATATATATATATATAATATTATAGATAACTGAAAAAACTACATTTGAAATAAAACAGCACAAGTGATTGATATAATACAGATATCAAGATATTTGTTTTAATTTTAAATTTTAAGAGGTTCAAGAAATTTTCCTAGGCAAGTGGCGAGAAAGGATTTAATAATAACATTCTTTTCAACTGTGTGCATTAACTTTTACTCCAGAATATCAGTACAAACTTCTAAACCATACATTAAAGTATTTATACATTTGAAATATCATATAATACAGTGCTAAAGCAAGTATGAATGAGTGTTTAAACTCATTGAGGAAAATGTTGAGGAAAAATTATATGTTTTACGTGGTTCTTGGTAGATTTCTCCTTTATCATGGTAGTGTTTCCATGATGAAGGAAAATCAAGGGAACTCTTATATATGGGGTAAAATTTAGTCTTGGTGTTCAGGAACTTTATGACTTAGAATTCTAAAGATGAGCCCTGGTTCTCTTATAAGCTGAGAATACATCTGTAGAGTATTACTTTAATTCTATTGGAATCTTTTTCCTTGAGATAGTCTCACTTGGGGAGACTTTTTATAGCTGTTTGTAAATGTGTGTCCTTTCTTTTGGATTCTTCTTTCATTGATGTAAATGAATGTCTAATTTTGAACGAGAAACTTCATAAAAGATCAACAGTTGGATTCTAGTGTTGTCGAGAGCTACTTTTTACTATAGTCATGGTGATGAGTATAGTCATGATGATGATTGATGCTTTGACTATATCATGACATTTTCAGCAACATGCTAACTAATTTACTTTCACTGTACATGCTGGAGGGCAAACATGAATCTTTGCA